GACTGCGGTAATATTTCTTGTATGTAACATGGCTGAGACTGTGAAATTTCGGAGTCTGTGATCATTGCGGATGTCCGGACTGTGTTTTTTTAGATCATGTGAAGGAACGGTGTTTTAGGCTGATATTATAAATTGTTAAGTAGGTGAGTTAGCAAAAGATTATTCTGGAATGAGATGGGAACATCCCGTGTTAGTGTAGCTTTGGTCGCATGCTGTGGTTGGCAAGTAGCGTTACTATTATGGCAAAACTTTTAATGATGGGATTGAGGGGATTTGTAAATGGTTCAGAATGTCGGTACTATGGAACATGCTCATTACTATTAGGCAGTTGTTTTAGAAGCTTGAATCCGGCTTTGCATACACGTTGTGTTAATTAGTTGTCATGGACTCATGGACTCCAATGTGTCAGTTATCTTTCTTGTTAGGACATTTCATCCTTGTAAGATGGTTTGTGGCCATATACTGGTACCGCAGTAGTATCCCTTATCGTACTTGTGTTTCAATCGTTGTCGTACAAGAAATTTGGTGCTGTTAGGCACCTCCGGTTTTGGTGTAATGATAGCATTGTATTGAAAACTTCATTGAGATTATCATTAATTATGGTTGCTTCTCAGAAAGTTGGATTCAAACGTACAGCGATATTCAGAACTCTTTCATAATGTTCATAGTAATTGTAAAAAGGCTCTTGAAANTTTAGCAATTGCCGGTATAATTACCACCTGTCAATAGTGACACTGGAATAGTTCGAGAGCTTCTTCGAACATTTCGTGTAAATATTCAGATTCAAAGTATGAATAATAGATTTTTCCACCCATAAAATTGGTGCATCGTGGAAACTAACCGAGGTAGTCCCTGAAAATCCCCGTGTCAAACCGAATGTCTATTGTGCACAGATGAAAATCCCTCTATCATGTTTTAATGAGGTTTGGTTTGGAGTGATGGTTCGTTTTTGCTGTTTACTTGCTGTATTTTTCACATCGTTGAATAAAAGTTTTTAACTCGTGTTCCATGACCTGTTCACCTAAATTTCGGGTTACCTTTGAAAAACCGGAATTATGGTGGCAGGTCATCTTTTTGCGGTGGTCAACGGGCTACGCTCGTGTGGATGTTGGGAGGGCAACGGATAGCAGATCTTTCGCAATAGGTAAGACCAGGATTCATTCCGATTCTGATCATTCTTTTGAAGTTTCATTCTGATTCGACCTCTAGTTCAAATCGCCATGAAATCACAAGGATTGAAACTGCTCCTCACAATATTTTGCTTTCAACTTTCCATTGAATATTTTGTCCCCTTTTGCTCCTCGACTTCGATACTTCACCCCAGTGTTACTAGAAACAGAGGATGAAAAACTGCTAAATTAAAGTCATTGCGCGATATAACTTCAATTCGCTAATACTCTCATTGATTATACGCCGACTGATATTCTTCTGAAACTGTAATACAGACAACGTTCAAGATTTCTGACGATGAGCATTTATATTGATAGGAATCATCTCATTAGCGATAATAACAATATATAATTACAATAATAATGCATAATACCGTACAGTTCCACTCTTTCCACACAATGGTTTCATCAGTAATTATAATTATGGCAGCAATAATAATATTAATAATAATAATAATAATAATAATAATAATAATAATAATAATAATAATAATA